TTTTTTTTTTCCTAACCACAACAAAAATAAAAACTTTCTCCTCTTGCTACACTCAATTTTCTACTATTAGAATTACAATTAAACTGATGTTTTCTGACCGTCGGGTACCGGTGGCGGTATGGGCGCCACAGCCGGCAGAAAATCGTCGGGTCGGGTCTGACCGTCGGGCCCGACGCCGGTGTGGGTCTAGCCTCACACAGCCTCATTCCTTCACGTTTGTTTATCACGCCGGCTCGCAACTGTTAAATCGTATCCCGTCACGTCGCGGAACCTTGTACGAGGACGAACCGAAAACGGCGGGCTCAGCGTTGACGTCAGTCCGCTGGGCGATTCCATCGACTGCCCTCAGAGCGAATAGTACATCCCTTAATAGCCAAATTGGCCTCTGTGCTGCTTACAGCACAGACACATGTATTATTTTATCAGTAGTGCATGTATTTATCATTCAGCCTTTCTCTAACTATTATCAGAACAGTTATTGTTAGCATAGCACTAAACTTTTTTTATTGAATTTTTAGCCACCTATAGTTTCGGTTTGGTATTTATTCATCACTTTCTCCCCACTAATAACTTACCTGGCCCATATGAGTCTTGCCGGCGAAAAGAGGAATCGTCTAGTTATATATATAAGGAGAATTAAAACAAGGAGCGATAGGCACTCGGCAGTCAGAGTCTGGGCCGAAAACAGTTAGGTCTACCCCCTCCCTTCCCTCCCTCTTTCCACCGCCACCCCAGCAAGACACCAAGTTCTATAATTAGCATTTGACACATTTCCCCACTTCATTACAACAGTAGTGTCGAGAAGTGCAATGAAGAACGTTTGATTATATAAAGATTGGAAACTGTTATACTCTAACTTTGTCCAGCTTTGTATAGTATCTGATTGCAGCCTTGATCTGCATAGAGGACAGCATCACTGGTACAGAATCAATTGACTTTTTGTCATCATACACTTTCAGTTTGTTTTCCAGCTTAGTTGTGTTTCTTTTCTGTGCCGATCAAGTCAGTTTCTATTAATCTCAGTAACCTAAAATCATACATTATTCTTAATATTGTTTCTTGAAACTACCATATTTTAGCTCTTTCGCATTATAATATTATAATGTTTACAGTAGTGTGTGTGTGAGTTGGGGGAGGGGGTTGGGGATGGCGAAAGTAGGGGTATAAAATGAGGAGAGAGAGAGAGAGAGAGAGAGAGAGAGAGAGAG